TTGTGAGGTAGAATGGCCCACCTTCAATGTAGGATGGCCCACAGAGGCCACACTGGACCTAGCCACTACTGCCCGTGTGAGACATAGTTGTTGGGGATCCAGGTCATCCAGACCAGTTTCCTTACAATGACTCCTGGTACATCCTGGCCACCACCACCTGACTGGCTACGTTTTCATGCACTCCGGACACAGCTCCAGGAATTTCTGGATGCTGTGGGCTTCTGCCACGTATGGATCCCTGGATTCTTGGTCACTGCTGGGCTACTCTATGTGGCACTAAAGGGGAACCCGATAGGACCGCTGCACTGGGGCCCTGACCAAGAGGATGCCTTCCAAAAACTTAAATGACACCTGGGTGAGGCACCGGCCCTGGCTCTCTCGGACGTCACTTGCCCTTTCCACCTCTATGTCCATGAGAAGGGAGGCATAGGGGACCATGGAACCGGCCAGTAGCCTACCTGTTCATGGCTCCCATGCCTCTGGGCATTGGCAGTGGCAGTCCTCTTAATACAAGAAGAAAATAAACTGACTCTGGGACAATGCATCACACTCCGGGTCCCCACCAAGTAACTTCTCTGCTCAACAGCACTACCAGTCAATGGATGACCGGGGAACGAGTGGCCAGATATCAGGCTTTATTGGGCGAGAACCCCCCGGTATGAGTCAAAGCAGTGAGGACTCTCAATCCCACCACATATTTGCCAGAAGAGGAGGGAGAACCTCTCCACTCCGGCGAGGAGATTCTAGACCAAGTCTTTTCTTCCCAACCCAACCTCACAGACACCGCCATTCCCAACGCCGACCTGGAGCTCTTCACTGATGGAAGCCGGAGCCTACAAGAGGGAGGATACTGGACCGGGTATGTAGTGACCATCGTCACACAAGTAGTGGAACATGGACAGCTGCCAGACCATTGGTCAGCCCAACAGGCAGAGTTATATGGCCTCACCAGGGCCCTCACCCTAGCAGATGGAAAGATGGCCAACATTTACACTGATTTGTGTTATGCCTTTGCCACCTTGCATATCCATGGGGCATTTACAAAGACATGTGGAGGTAAAGAGATCAATAATGGTCCACAAATTTTACAATGGTTAGAGGAAGTCTGGAAGCCCTGCGCCATTGCTGTCATCCACTGTCCAGCCCATACCAACTGACCAGACAAGATCAACCAAAGAAACGGATTGGTGGACAGAATAGCAAAAGAAGCAACTCTCTCAACAGAAGTACAAAAGGAAGACACTAGTCCAGCCAAAGTATGCTTTGCCCTGCCTGTCCTCCCGGACCGACCAGAGTACAGCCCACAAGAGAGAACAGGCCCATGAAACAGGGGCTAAAGAGAACTCAGAAGGCTGGTTCATAACCCCAGAGGGAAGGACCCTAATACCAGAAAAGACAGCCCCGGGCCTGGTAGGGCTGGCACACGACATCACCCATTTGGGCAAAACCTCCCTACAAAGGCTACTACACAAATACCTGGTCGTTCCCCGATTGGCAACTTTAACTCAGTTGGCCAGCAAGGCTTGCCTATGCTGCACCCAACATAACCCAGGACAGGGACCCAAGCCCCCACTGCTCTCTCAGAAGAAGGGGGTCCACCCATTCCAACACTTAGAGTTGGACTTCACTGAGATCCAACTGAATAAAACTTACCGGTACCTCCTGCTGGTGGTCTGCACTTTTACAGACTGGGTGGAGGCGTATCCCACCAGCATGGAAAAGGCCACAGAGGTGTCAAGAGTGCTAGCCAAAGAAATTATTCCTCGGTTCAGGATACCTAGCAGCATTGGGTCAGACAATGGGCCTGCCTTGTCAGCCAGGTGGTCAAAGGCATATCTCATGCAATCGGGCTGACCTGGGATTTGCACACCCAGTATCACCCCCAATCATCAGGCCGAGTGGAAAGGATGAACAGGACTATCACGACAGCACTAGCAAAACAAAGTCAAGAGACAGGGCTACCCTGGCCAGATGTATTATCCTTGGCACTGTTCAAAATTAGGTGTACACCTAACAATTGTGGGGTCTCTCCCTTTGAAGTCCTGTATGGATGGCTGCCACCACTAATACCTGGACAGGCTGCAGACCTTCAGAAGTATGGACAGATTGGCCTCCACAAGTTCCTAAAAGGCTTGGTTCATGCTTCCAGGGAGATTGCCTGGCACCTAGGACACCTGGAGACGGCCCCTGTGACCCTTGGGCCTTTGCATCCATGGAGCCTGGGGGGCTGGGTTTGGGTCAAAACCCCAATTAGAGGGAGTCTAGACCCCCGATGGAGGGACCTTACCAAGTTATTCTAACCACTCCTTCAGTCCTTAAGGTTGCAGGACTGAAACCGTGGATTCACCACATGCACGCCAAGCAAGCAGAGGCTCCAGGCCAGGAGTGGAAATTCCAAGCCAACCCCAACCAGCCATTGAAACTGACCTTGACCTGAGGGAGTGCCGATGAGGCCCCAGACAGACCTACTGATTCTACTAAGGGCTGTAATAATAATAAATGACTCACAAACAAATCCTCCAGACCCAACTGCGGTCTCCCATAAACTGATATGGGAGGTCGAACTCTCGGAAGGACAAGAGGGAACTACATTAATTAACCGCACCATCTGTGCTTTGTCAGACCCTTGTCTTGTCTCTTTTAGGTACTGCCCAGGCCTGAAGGCCAGCAGATGGGCCCAACTGGGACCCTCTACCCTGAGTTGCTCCGGCCCATCCAGAGATCGCCTATCCAATGTGTATGGCCGAGAACCATGGAACTGGGATGACTGTGGGGGGCCTTCATGGTCCTTTCTACGACACTGGTCATATATTGATTTTGCCTCTCCGGGGACTTGGAAAGGGGCCACCCCCCAAAGGCCAGGGTGTCAGTATTCAGAGGCTATCTTCAAACCTCTTCAACATGAATGAATAGTTTAAGGCACAGGGAGCAGGAAAGGGAGACCTCTTCCAATTAATAATAGATAAACCACAACAATGGAACTAGGGTCTTCAGCCTGGGAGGATTCCTCAAAAATTATTGGGGAGACCCCGCAGTCTTAAAGATCCTTAAGCTTCAGATTAAAGCAGCAAACATCTCTCTCCCAGTTAGTAAAGTTAACTCCTTGACCCCTGTGCACAGGGGAAAATTTTCCTCCCTCCCTCCTCAGATGGGACTGATTGCCCCCCCCCTTACACCCTGACACTCCTCTCATTAAAATGATAGCTTTGGCAAACAGCAGCCACCAGCTAGTACAAGCAGGCCCTGAACTAGGCAGAGACTGTTGGATTTGCCTGAGGGCTGGCCAAGTGTCATATGCCGGGGTGGAGCTGATTGGCATATCTGAGATACATGAGCTGGGCCTGGACAACTCTACCCAAAATGACAATACCTGTCTCACCGGCCCAGCTATCCAAATAACTGGAGAAACTAAATGCTTTTCTTTTTAGTACAAAAAGAATTGTACCAATCTGGTAAAAGGAGCCAAACCACCTAATGGGACTTACTTTGCCTGTCAGGGTGGGATTCACATCTGTTACCTGGGGCGGGGGGAGAGGGGCTTGTGCCCTGGTTTTCTTAGTCCCAGACCTGGACATACTTGCGGGGACTAAAGTTGCTCGATACCTAAACCAACAAGCTGATGGCCAGACCATTTCCGATGGGACCCCATCCTCCTCCCAGTACTTCTGGGAGTCGCCCTGGCAGGAGCAACGGCCACAGGAGCTACCGCTATTGGCCATCTGTCTGAACAAATCCATAAGGATTTAGGATTAGTACAACAGAGCATCGTCACCCTACAGAATCAGTGGGACTCACTGGCGGCCACAGTCTTACAGAACCGTAGAGGCTTAGACCTCATTACTGTGGAAAAAGGAGGAATTTGCATGTTTTTAGGGGAAGAATGTTGCTTCTATGCAAACCAGTCAGGGATAGTGAGAGAAAATACACGCCAATTACTAGAGAGGATCAAGGCAAGGGAAAGAAATCAGGAAACATTTGGAATACAGGACAGAAGAGCTGGGCCCCCTGGGTAGCCCCCCTGGCGGGCCCACTCACTGTGTTCCTTATGCTATGACTCTTAGGGCCTTGTGTGGTAAACCGCCTCACCAGGTTCATCAGCAACCAGATGAATGCTGTTAGATTGCAATTAGTGAGACAATATCAAAGACTGCCCCTAGATGACCCCCCCGAAATGGTCATAAGGGATTATGAAGAGTAAGAGGAAGGAATGATAAAGAAACCCAGGGGAAAGATCTGAAGACAAGCTCTCTCCCATGGCTGGACCCTATTTTCACAGATGTGCTAGTGTGGTATGCTGTAACCTTGAGGTAGTATGAGAAGTTGTAACCTTGTGCTAGTGGGATATGTTGTAACCTCCTAGCAAGAGGCCACGTCTGCTTTTGTCCTTCCCGCTTGCTTGCTTCTGCATTCTGAGGCATAAAAACCCTGCAGCCTTGAGCTGTGAAGCCTGTGCCATTTTTGGAGAGATCCAAGGTGCTGGCCCACTAGCATAATAAATCTTCCTTTCCTCTAACCATCTGGGTTTGAGTCTTGTTCTCGCAGGTCTGACATTCTTCCCGCAACACTATTTTAGCTAATTCTTCCACAGGAAGAATGAGTATTTTCTTAATGTTATATGGCTTTTTTGCCTTAAGCAATTTTAAAAAAATCTTCAAAACAGGCTCTTCTATATTCACTTTAGTAAACTTCTGGACAAGATTTTGTACTGCACAATTTTAAAAATCGCTTAAACATTTAAAACTATTTGCATTCATGTTGTGGATATTTAAATTTTAATTACAATAGGCTCATACATCAGTAAGTATTATCTCAATAATCTTTGCTTAGCACCAGGTTTTTCTTTAATGATAGTGGCTGTGAATTTGTACTTCACATAGATTCTTGATAACTCCATTTTATTTTTTGTCTGACATCTTGTCACTCTGAATAGATTGCCACTGTTTAACCTTACAATGTGGCCGAACACACACTGACAGCAAGTGTAACCCAGCCATTTTCTTACCGTTTGCTTATACCTCTTCTTCCTCCAAAAATTTCTTCAGTTTATCTGTCCATTTGGTAGAAATTAATCTAGTTAAAACAAAAGAATTTAAGCCATAAACCTACTTCACCAACTGAGCCTGCATAAACTCTGGTCCCTTGAAAGACATCAAAGTGAATTAACCAAATATGGGTTCTGTGTGGCTCCTTCCCCCTGCCCTCAGAATTTTACACAGGACAAGGGACCCTCTTTCTGCACAGATTGAGTAAGGATTCCAGTGTCAATCCATTCCTAAATTTTAGTCAAGGCTCAATTTCTTTCTTACTCCCTCTTGTCCTTTTTCCCTCCTTCTCTCCCTTTTCCCCTCTCTCTTGGTGGGTGGTACTGGGGTTTAAACTCAGGGCCTTGTGCTTGCTAGGCAGGCTCTCTACACTTGAGCCATTCCTCTAGCCTATTTTTCTCATTTTTAAAAATAAAAACCATACCATAGTCTGCTGCTAATTTTGCCCTTCCCCATGAATCTTCTTGGGCCCCCACCATTCTAAAGCACGAGCCATTTTTAGGTTGACAGCCATGTAAGTCCTCTTTGCCCATTCTGCTGGGTCAGACAAGGATTTTACAGGAATGGACTTACCTTACCACGTAATTTGACAGATTGTATTAGCATTGAACTTTTAAGGACACCCACTCCTCCACTCCTTCCCCCCACAGTAGTTCAGGTCTCCTTCAGGGACATTTGTGACCTACAGCTGTGATCCCAAAGGCCAACATTTTCACAATAAATCCCACTCCATTTAAACTGTCTAACCTTATATCCCATCTAAGGGACATGGCACTTCAGCCATGGAAATGGCTTTGCCTCTGTCTCCTTCCCCCCCACAAAGGGAAAAGGCTAAGTTTCAATCCAAGAGACAATGTAAACGATAGAACCATCCTTTCTTTGGTGAAGAAAGCCCTGAAGAGGTACCTGTGGAATGAATCAGCTACTAGACCATCCCTGCAAGCCTTGCACCCAAACCCCTGAAACTCAAAGACACAGAGAACCCAATACACCTTTGTGTATTGCTCTGTACATTTCAGTACTGTTATGCCAAGTCACCCAAAACCACAGTAATCCCAACTACGGAACATTTTAAATATAGTATAACTTAAACTCACATCCTCAAAATCTTTGGAGGAAGATCATGTTTCAAAGAAGAATCCCACAGAGAAATCTATTTGAAACCTACGTTTTATTTTATTTACCTTTTAGGGACTCAAGCACGCCAGCCAAGTGCTCTACCACCAAACTATACCCACAGCTTATGTATTATTTTAAATTATACAAAGTGATATATATTTGGGTTCTTAAAACATCTGAATAGCAAAAAAATGGGAGCTTGAGTCTTTATTTCCATGCTTGGCAAACATGGGTAGGACCAGAGGTTCATTACCAACAGCTGAGCCAAGCAGTGTGGTTACCTGCAGAATTTCATAAATGACTAAGAAAGGCACAAGAGGTACACCAGGTGCCAAAGCTTGGAACTTAAAGACTTTAGCTTGGAATTCAAAAGTCTTTGAGGTAGAGAGAGCTTGAGAGTCACTTGAGGGCATCTGGGGCACAAAGCAAAGGAATATGAATGCTTCTAGTTTATTTAACACCTGGACATGAAAGATTAAGTAATACATTCCTAAAAATGGCCCAGGGTTGCACACAGGTAGAGGGGTACAAAGATAGACCAGTAATTCTTTAATCACACTAAGATGGTTTTCTCTTTATGGTTTACATTTATAGCAATTCCTAGAAGTGATACTAACCATTTAAAACTTGGGTTTTCTATCGTCCAGGGTGGAAGTCAGCTACCAGCAGTGGTTACACTGCCCCCTTTTGGCTCTGAGGTGGATACCAGAGGACAAAATGAAAGAGTTTCTCTGGCTATATCTCTTGAACCCCTCTAAATCATAGGAAGCCTCTCCTTTTATGCAATCTCTTCCTTCATAAAAACAAGCCCACTATAAAAGGCTGCTCTGGAAGTGGCTGTGGACACCAACATCGCCAGTTTTCTCAACAAACCCACCCTGCTGGCCAGCGTGTTAGAAGTTGCTGTTACTCACACTTTACTTAAATGACTTCTGATTCTGGAGGCTCCAGTTAGAAAAGCTGGGAGAGGATGAGTCCCTTCATCAGACTCGAGGGACTGAACACAGGTGGGTTTATGGGATCAGCTCTCCCTCTACTTGTGAGAATCAGGAGGGGGCTTTGGAGGGAGCCAGGCATCTCCTAGGGCTGCATTAGGGTATCGGTCAGCGGAGGGCATGGTGCCTGGTCACATTCTGCCTGCAGATGGCTCAGGTGTCGCCATTCTAGAGAGCGCTCTGAAGACTGAAACACACAATGAATTTAACTGAAACTCACTGTTCTCCATTTCAACCACAAGATGGCAGGCGACAGCGCTCAGAGCCTCTAAAGTCGTGCCCTGAAGGCAGTGATGCTGGGAGAAAGCTTCCAACTGTCATCGATTACTCTTTCCATGAAGGTGCTACAAGCTAACTCTTGTTAGGACAGAAGGTTCTAGATGTAATCCACATCCACTTATGGAACATGTAGAAAACTTGATTTTGCTATTTGTTTTGATTATAAACTATTTAAATAGTTCCTAATTTGATTAGTTACTATTTAGTGTTGAGGGAAGTTCTAGAATCTGAGACAAAAGGCATGAGCTCCAGTCATTGCTCTTCTCTATGAAGATACTTGACCCGGAAACCATGTCCTGGGCCTCAGGTTCCTCCTTGGTACAATGGAAAGTAGGACTTGAGTGAACTCTGGGATTGCTTCCATAAACCAAGCCGTGAAAGGAAGTAGCCTGAGCAGAAAGGGAGCACTGCTTCCTGAGGGAATGGGGCTGATCCACATGGCGGGTTTTCCAGATAATTGAATTTTAAATGCTGAAACTTGCTTTCCTTTTAACCTTCTGTAATGGAAATCTTTCTAAAGTGTATTACACGCTTCTCTGACTTCTTACACAGCATGCTGAGTATAATTTAACCTTTCATAATGTCTGTAGGTCATGGCGATGACCACCTTTTACTCTATATATAGTCCTCCACGGAGCATCAGGTGCCTCTGGGCATATTCAGGTAGGCAGGACCCTGGTGTTAAATGGCCCCAGAGACCACATTATAAAGCTATAATTGGCAATTCTTCCTCTCCCTGTCTCCTACCTACATCCCTACCTGCAGTTATTTCTCCAAGTAACACCTTCTTGAAGTCTCTTGACACTCGGCTTAAAATCTGCTGTAAGCCAGACAGAACTCAAGGTTGCCATGGGTAACCACAGTCTGAGCTTGTACCAATCCTAAATTTAATTTTGCACACAACTTGAAGGCAGTGGGGACTGTGCTGAAGGTTACTTCTGGCCAAGGCTGATAGATACTCTGCCTGTTCCTCACAGCGTGTTTTAATCAATTCCACCTTTTGTTACCAATTTGGAGCAATCCGTCCCTAGGACTAGATCTGGTTTACTTATAGAAAACTAGTGTAGGAACTAGTGGAGTGACTAGGGTTACAAAGTAGTCCTTGCAGGAGCTAATCTAAGAATCTTCTCGGTTCTCTCTGCACTGAACAGTAGCTAGAACATTCCAGAAAATCCCATCTTCCCCACAGTGGAGTGATGGTACTCACAAGCGGAAACTTCTGTGTGTTATCTGTTGTGCCTACAAGATGGGGGATGTGGTATCAAACATGACCAGTAACCCCACCTCTCCCAGAAAGTTCTTTGGATGTTCACACCGGGATGAAGCTGTCACCACGCAAAGGAATGAGGGCTTCCCAGAATTCTTTGGGAGCCTAGGAGCAAACAGTAGACCTCAGGAGGCCCAGCCAGTGAGAGGTGGGAACAGGGTCTGTAATCTAGGGGCAGTCATAGGTTTAGTTCCATACTGGTTCTTGGTGAAGGAAGGCTGTCAACCCCACCCAATCACCAACCAAGAAGGCTGTTGGCTGAGGAGAAGAGAGGCACAGAAGGGCTCAGAAGAGCCCCACTCCTATTCCCCACTCTTTAGCGTAAACTCTACATGGGTAGGTGGAAACAGTTAGTTACAGTGAGTAAAACAGGAATCCCTTGAGGACATTCAGAACACTTTAAATTCCCCATATATTCAGCCCTCCATATCTGTGTGCTCTGCATCTGAGGAGTCAACCAACTGTGGTTTAAAATACTAAAAGAGGAGCCAGGTGTGGTGGCACACTTCTCTAATTCCAACACCCTGAAGGCAGCAGCAGAAGGAATATTAGCAAGACCTTGTCTCAAGACAAGACAAAACAAACAAAAAAACTAAAAAAAATTGCATTAGCACTAAACATATATACTTTGTTCTTGTCATTATTTTCCTAAAAATACAGTATAACAACTATTTATATAACATTTACACTATGTTAGGTTTTATAGATAATAAAGAGATGATTTTAAACATATAGAAGAATGTGCATAGTTTGTATTCAAATGTTATGCTGTTTTGTATAAAGAACTTGAACATTCTTGGATTTTGGTATCTATGGGGGTCCTGAATATCAAGGAACAACTGTGCCTAAATTCTAAAGTGCTTGTAGCCCCAAAGCTCCACTAGATGTAAGTTCATCATAGGTATTCTGCTATGGTTTGTTTGTAGTCTGCCCACAAGGGCTCATGTGTGGAAGCCTTGGTCCCTAGTGTGGCAATATTGGGAGGTGGTATGGACTGATAAAGAGGTAGGGCCTAGTGGAGGTCCTTAGGTCAATTGGGAACATGCCCTCAAAAGATATTGTGGGATGCCAGTCTCTCTCTCTCTCTCTCTCTCTCTGTGTGTGTGTGCATCTTTCTAATTGTTGACAGGTTTTCTCTCTCACACACATGTTCCTATCAATATACCATCCACGGTTAGGCCCTGAACCGATGGGACTGTCTAATCTTGGACTTTCAGAACTGTGAACTAAATAAAGTCTTTTCTTTATAAGTAGCCTCCCTCAGGTATCTCATTAGTCATGAAAAATGGACTAATTCAGATTCAATATAAAATCAAATTTCCTTTTATAAGATGAGACAAGGGGCATCTGTTTTCCTTGTCAGTTTGGGTAGGTAGAAACCTTACTGGTTTGTTCTAGTCATTTTCTTCCCTGGTGTCTGTGGTTATGCTGAGGAGGTATTTTGTGCAGCTGTAAACCATCCATGAAATTATGTACCAAACCACAAGGCAACAAAGTATAGCTCAGTGGTTAGGGACACAGACTGTGCTGAATGGACTCAGGTTCACATCTGGTTCTACCTTACTTGGGTGGCCTTGGGCAAGTTATTTGCAGCCAAGGTCTCTCATCTAAGCTTTCTCTATAGAGATGTGGTAGGTATTAAATGAAATACTGGCTGGCAGATATACACTGGGGTAGGCACTGATCGATCGATGGCATTTCTTGTAATTATTCAAGAGAGCTAGGTAGAGAACTTTGAAATATCAAGTGAGTCTCTTTCTCTTCTGCCTTGTTAAGTTCTCAATGTTAAGAGCCAATGGGAGTCCAGGCCTCCAGGTGCTCAGGAGAGGGGTAACCCAGCAGGCTCGGGGCATTCAGCCTATATACATTCCAAAGAAAGGACTGCCTCTTGACCAGCCCTGGGAGGTAACATCTAAGCCCTTGGAATATCCCAAAGAGTGTCTCTGTAAACATGCGGACATTTAGCTATGCCAGATAGTTTATGCTAAGCATGTGGTTTGTGGTAGGGGCTTTGGGTCACATGACATCAGCTTGACCTCTGGAGGGTCTGAAGACTGAGTAAGGTCATCTACATTAGCCCTTTTATGACCTATAAAAATGCTGATGCTCAGCCTTGAGTGAGCACCCCTGGTCAGCAATGCTCTATATGAGCTATCACACCCCATGCGGGGAGATCAGAGCACCATCTTTACAACGCCCATGGGAGACAATTGGAAGATGCTGAGCAGTCACTCCTGGACTCCATTCTGCACCTCCTGTCTTCACTGGATTCAATTTCTCTCTTTTTATTGCACTGAACTGCAACTATGACAGCTTTTCCAAAATTTGTGTGCTTCCAGTGAGTCACAGAAACTGAGGGTGGTCTTGGGAAACCAGAACTGTCCAGTCCTAACTTATTACTTTTGTGGGTAACCATGTGAGTAGCAAATACAGATAAACTCAAGAACATTTAAAAAGCATTCAGACAAGAGACAAGAGGATCTGCAAGGATGGGGCTTCTGGACTTTGACTCTGGTGAGAGCCTTGTGGATGTTGTCACTAAGGTAATAAGTGACAGGAGGATGGAAACACACAGAACCCCACCTTTGGTGTTCAATTGCAGGTGAGATGCTGGGTTCAATGAGTGAGACAGGTTAACACAATGTGGCAGTTCTCATACTCTTGTTTTGTGTACTGTTTTCTTTCTACCCCAAGATTCAGGGAAAAAGGAAATACTGTGAGTCTAAGTACTTTGTGAATGAATGAAGCAAAAAAGAAAAAATAAACATCATGAAACTTCAACTCAACATATTTTCCCCTGAGAGGATAAAGGCCATTGGCTTCTTATCATCAGGACCCGTAACTCTGCAGCTGCAGACCCCAGGGGTCCTGTGCCAGCTGCTACTCCCTTGCTTACCTGGCACCACTGACATCGACTCCGACCATGAGCTGCCCATTGAGGGACAGGATCTCATCCCGCAGCCGAACCTTCCCACTCTTCCCTGCTGGGCTGTTCTTCCTCAGCTCTGTCACCCAGATGCAGCCCACGTCCAGCACAGGGCCCTGATGGGTTTTCCTCTTCTTGCCTCCTCTGCGCTTTTCACCATAGTCCCCGAAAACAGGGATGTTCCCAAAACTGAGGCCCACAGTCTCTGTGTCCCCCAGCTGCTTGGTGAGGTACACAGTACAGATCTCCATTTCTGGGGGGCTGTGATCAGGTGGGACTGTACTCTCATCCACAGCCAAGTTCAGCTGGATATACTCCTGCAGCTTCTGGATGGCTGCATGGCAGAGCCGCTGCTCCGGCCCATCCCCGCCCTCTCGCAGGCTGTTCTGCAGCCATTGGTAGAGGAGGGGCAGGTGCAGCACAGCATTGTCCTGGGTGATGGGCATGGTGCTCACTCCTGGACACCAGCATCATGAGAGGTCCTGTTCCTGGAGGCTGGCCCCCGCAGAGACCCACGTCCCTTGGGAACCCTGGCTGTCATCAGCTTTGCCTGTGTTCATGTTTGAGCTGGCAGTGTGGCACCTGGGGATGCCTCCTTGAGACTGGGCTGTTTGCCTTGGCAAGAGGAGGACAGGACACAATTAAACAGCAGTGGAACAATGGCTCTGGAGTGCTCAACAAGAGAAGGGAGGAAGAATCTGACAAGTCTTTGCTTGGTTCCTTTCACAGCAGGCCCATGCAAATGACATGGAAATCAGGTGTTTGTCCAGCAGCTACAGCCTGTCCTTTCCTGGGCTCATTCACACCTGGGAGAGAAAAAGGAAAAAACAAAAACTTCCAGTCACAACAGAGAGCCTTCTAAGCAGAACACACACATGGCCTTCTATAGTCCAGAAGGATGTTTGCTTTTCAGACACAAGCACAAACCAGAAACCCAATGCCTCTCCCTGTTCTCCAGTGTGGATCCCTCTACACTAAACTCACAGCCATACACTCACACACAAATACACACTTCCCTCCCTCAGACAGAAGCCTCGGGGACACTGGCCTTTTCTAGGAAGTTTCCCTGATCAGCAGAGAAGTGAGATCCCATTTGGCGGGATAGTCACATCCAACCAGGACGCCATGTGAGAAGAGCCCTTGGAAGATTATCCAGAGGTTCTGGACCAATTTTTACCCCTTGTGAGCAATGTCACCTCTACTGAGAATGCATAACTTGGCTGAAAAGGAATCCAAGGGAGGTGGTAGATTCCAACACCATATCAACAAATTATCTCAGCAACAGAAGCATTTATTTGGAATGCTAAGGCTGTCAGCTCTAAGCTACTCAAAATTAATTGAAATTATCATGGCTATTTGTTGAGATGGGGATCTAATTGGAGAATTATCCATGGTAGACAAAAGTGGGCCTGGCTGTTGCAATGGGCCACAGATTCTGCTCACTGATGAAATGGATTGATCTCAGAAGGGGAAGCATTTAGATCTTTGCACAGGTTGGTCATGAAGGGATGTCAATGTCTGTAACTGTTTCTGCAGATGTCTAGCCTTTATCTTCTGATGGTCAACATTTTGCTCATTAGCATGTTTCATTGGATGTTTTCGAAGAACCACACTTTTCATAGTACAGGTTGAGTATACGTTATATGTGAAATGCTTGAGACCAGAAAGGTATTGGATTTCAAATGGTTTTGGATTTTGAAATATTTGCATATACATAATGAGTTATTTTGGGTGTGGGACTCAAGTCTAACCATGAAATTCATTCATGTTACCTATATGCCTCCTATACATAGTATGATGGGAACTAGGCAATATCTTTTTAATAATTTTGACATGAAACAAAGTTTCATGATATGTAATTTTCCACTTGTGGCATCATGCTCAAAAAGTTTCCAATTTTGTATCACTTTAGCTGTTAGATTTTTGAATAAGAGATGCTAAACCTGTATTGCAAAATGGTCCAACTTTTCTTACGTATGCCCTGAGTCATCTTAAATCATTGTGAGTAGACGAGGATGTCTCTATTCCCCTTGTTTATAGAAAATTCCAGGAGACAGATTGCACAGAATAAGAGATTGGAAGAATTACTGGAAAATTCTTAATTATAGATATGGAATCAAAAGATTAGGCATGGTGGCACATGCCTATAATCCCAGCACTCGGCCGAAGCAGGAAAATCTAGAGATCAACCTGGACTACATTGGAAAATCCCATCTCAAAAAAAAAAAAAAGTTATCTAGCCATGAACTTCTAAGAGTCTTTCATGGCACCCCTGAACTTGCAACATTTTTCCTCTTGTGAAAACTGCTTCCCCACCCTCACAAGTCAAGGTCAGAGGGTGGGCTCCCAGCAGCTCTACGTTATTGTTTGACCTCACCCCTGAGCCTAAATTGATTGGATTACAGATGGACAACTGATCCAAGCTGAGACAATCAGCTTTTGACTTGTAAAGAGTAGAAAATCATTCAAGGTAATCTATGTTCATTTAAAGATTTACTTAGTTTTTGTTTTCTTTATCTTTTTGTTTATTTATTGTTTTATTGTGCTGGGGGGGGTACATTGTGATTTTTACAAAAGTTCTTACAATGTATCAAATATATCATACTTGAATTCACCCCCTCTATCATTCTCCTTTATCTCCCTTCCCCCATTCCTGGAATAGTTTCAACAGGTCTCATTTTCCATTTATGTACATGTGTCTACAGTATTTGTACCACATACATCCTCCTGCACCCTTTCGCTACATACTCTTCCCCCCACTGGTACCAACACCCCCCAGACAGGACATGTTCTGCCCTTCTGTTCTGCGATTTTATAAAAGAAAAATAAAATGACATGTTTGTTTAAGTTAGCTATACAAAGAGTTTCCTTGTGACATTTCCACGTATGTATGTATTATAACCCTCCATTTTCCTCCTTTCTACCTTAGTCCCCTTCTTATGGTGGTTTCAACAGGTTTGAAAATTCTATACTCATTCTTGTATAGAGAGTACATCAACCATATTCACCTTCCTAACTTCCTTCTTTTATCCTCCCTCTCTCGTACGTGACCCCCCCTTAATGTGACTTGTTTTTTTTATCTCTTTTGTGACCGCCCTTAATGTGACCTGTTTTTTTTATCTCTTTTGTTTCTTTTAGGTAGTTAATTTTTTAATGGAATTTATTACGTTCTTTCAGATCAAGGGGATGGGAGCAGCAATGCAGCCCCCCAGGGATGGCTGAAACTAAGGTAGGAGTGCTGTGGGAGAAGCCAGCACCTTCTCTCCCAGTCTGCACCTCTGCCCTCTAGTGAGCAACTCTATTTCATGGCCAGATGACTTTGCCACACGGCAGTCAGAATATTACCACCTGAAGCTCCACGTCTAAAAGTGATCATTTTGCTACCTGAGACAAACCAGGACCATTTCTCTCAGTGTCCTAGAACTCAGTTCTCAAGGAAGAGCTCTGTCTTAGTTTTGATGAGATGCTCAGCTCTGGACCAATGGACATGGTCTGGGTTGGGATATGAAGTTAGCTGCCAGTAGTCTTGTTGAGTCTGTTAAGATGGTTAGCCTAGACTTATTATGCACTAATTTCCATTTATTCTAAGGTGGTTTTGGGGGGCTCTGGGGATTGAGCCCAGGGCCTTGCATCTCCTAAGCATGACTTTACCACTGAGCAAGGCCTGCAGCCTCTAATTTCCATTTCTTTATGCTCCTTTCCCTCATACTATGAATTCCTGTGGGGTAAGGAATTTGCTTTATTGATGGTTTGTGCTTAGTGCTAAGTTTAAGGCCTGGTTCTTAATAGAGGTCAATAAATATTTGCTGACTGAATACAAGTTGACACTAGGAAAAAAATTCCCCACTACTCTTAAATTTGGTTTTCCTCAATCAGATTTATTAAAAAACCATCTCCTTTTTTCTTTCTTTTTTTTTTCAGGGGGAGATGGTACTGGGGTTTCAATTCAGGGTTTTGCGCTTGCTATGTAGGCACTCTATCACTTGAGTTACGCTTCCAGCTGTTTTTGTCTTGTTATTTTGGAGATAGGATCTAAGTTTTGTGCAGGCCAACCTGAACCAAGATCGTCTTATTTTATTCTTCGCACCATATTCTTCGCTGGGATGATAGGCACATGTCACCATGTCCAGCTTTTTGCCTTTGAGATGGAGTCTCATTTACTCCTCCTCAGGCTGGCCTGGAACTATGATCCTCCTGATCTCAGCCTCCCATATAGCTTGGGATGACAGGCATGCCCCACCACACCCAGCTATTGGTTAAATGGGGTCTTGCAAATTTTTTGTACAGGCTGGGCTCAAACAGCCATCCCAAAGATTACAGGTGTGAGCCATAGCTGTCCAGCTTTTAAAGAGCATCTTGCCATGATATTGCTCTGCTTTTATATGTACGGAGTCATCTGAAATTCCACTAACATCTTGAGTCACAAGTCATTAACATCTTAATTTAAAGGATCTTTAAAACTGACGTAGGAAGCGTAGCAATGAATAAGACATTGTAACTGTGTTTGAGGACATCTCTGTTGAGACTAACTTTAGAGATCATTTAGCTTAACTTTCTCACTTTCCATATGTGGAAAAGGAGAATCATAAAGGTTGTTTGGTCTGACAGCAAATGTTTTTACTTATTCCTAAGATTTTAATAACACCTTTAAGTAACACCTTTTCAGTGAAAGGTGTTACTTCTTTTGGCCAAAGAAGACATTCATTGTTTGTACATATGCAGATTATCTTTCTCTGATCTTGCATTTCTTCTTAATAGCCAGGTGATTATGTAGATGATGTTTGCACTAAGCTTTTGATTTGTCTGGAATCAATTAATTGGTGACACTCAAGTTCTTTGGAAGCTCAAAGCATACTATATTGGAAATCTCTTTTTGGTGGCTGAGTAATAAGGTTTTTATTATTGACATGTTTTCTGACACCTCTCCCATTTGTTAAGAGTTCTTGTTAAGTCACTTCCTAAGAAGCCTAGAGAAGGTTTTCCACCTTAGATGGCAAGGTTATTATATTGACTTCTCTGGAAGGATGTGAAGTTTACAGAAGAGAGTGAAAGGGATCATTTTTTCTATGTTTTTGAAGAACGGAGCTTAAGAATTTTCTTTGATGGAGAAGTCCAGTTGGCAATGGCATTCAGTTATTATTGCCAGGCACTGGGCAGAAGGCTTAAGACTCTGGCTCTGTTAGAGACAAACCTGCCTTGGCTGGCTGCAATGGCAGGCGATGGCATCACATGATAAGCAAAGGTGGGCTCACATCTTCTTACCCAGAATCCTGGAAAGTGTTTCTTTTGAGGAGCTAGTTTGGGGTCTGGCCTATTTCAATAGTTCAGCAAAGGGAAAAGACAAAGAAGATTCATGAATCCCTCTGAATTTACATAAGACATAGGGAAGCAATGGCCAAGCTAGGGGATAGCGTTGCCCTGAGGCGGAGGTAAATCTCTCCAGGTGTTGACTGGCTGTTTCTTCTTTTGGGAGCACTGCCAAAGCTCATTTCTGGAATGGAAAGCTCCCGGCATGTACAGTTAGACTGATCAAGGCAAAGGAACGTACATCTTAACTTCTAGGAATGTAAGCTCTTATATATGTCCAGAATCCCTCTGTAACTTTCCAAGGGTCTTTTCACAAGGGCTCCTGGTTGGATGTGAGTTTGACAGAATATTGATGGGGGTTGGCCTGGCCTGGTAACTTCTACATTAGTATGCTGTCTGCCTGCTTCTACCAGTCTCACCCTCTTAAATAGTTCCTGCCTTGCCAAGATCTGTACTCAGCCTGGTGATTGACCCCTGCT